GACCACCTGTAGGACCTGCGCCACTTCCTCCGTGTCTGTCTCGCATGTATTCCTACTATAACATATACTTGACTTATGATAATTCACCACCTGCCCAGATAAATTCTCATACTTGGACAAACAATTTTTAATCTCATTAGCTTCCTGCACATTGGCCTTAAAAAATAATAGACTGTCATCAGCAAAAAATAAATGGGAGATGGGGGGAGGCACCCCTCGCGACTCTACACCCATGGATAGAGCCATTACTCTGTGCCTGTTGCAATAATAATGAGAGACCTTCTGCACAAATAATAAATACTGAGAGACGGATCTCCCTGCCGTAACCCTCTAGTGGGCGTTACCCTCTCACTACAGTTGCCCTTGACCAAGAAATTGTATGACACTGTAGTAACACATAACATAATTAACTCCACCCAATTATTACCAAAGCCCAAGGCCAGCGACATACCACGAAGAAACGACCACTCCATTCGATCATAGGCCTTAGCCATATCTAATTTGAGAGCACTCCATCCAACTATTTCACATTGTTTTCTGTTTAAATAATGCCCCACCTCAGCAACTATTAGAATATTATCTGTTATGAGTCTATCAGGTATAAAAGCACTTTGTGAGTCAGATATTATTTCATCCACCATCGGCTTCATTCTATTCGCAATCACCTTAGCCACAATTATATACACCATATTACTCAGGGCTATAGGTCTGAGATCATATACGGCTTCAGGGGTACCTTTTTAGGGATTAATACCACATTAGTGTCATTTAACCCAGGGGGAAAGAATCGAGATTCTAAACATACTTTTATAAAATTCGAAACATCCCCTCCCACAACATCCCAAAAATGTTGATAAAACCCCGGATTCATCCCATCAGGACCCGGTGCCTTATCAGGAAACATTGAAAACAGTGTTTTCTTACCTCCTCCATTTCAATAGGTCGTTTTAGGGCTTCATTATGGGCTGCTGTTACCCTCATGGTAATATTTTGAAAGAAATTTTTGCCACTCTCAGGATGGCCAGAGCAGAAAATATTATTGAAGTATTCCAAAATAACGTTGGTTATGGCCTTCCCTTCCATCCAATCCCAGCATTATTCATAACTCTAGAAAGGAAATTTTTCTTTTTTCGATGAGACATACCTGTGGTAAAACTTCGTGTTGGCATCAGCATTCTTGAGCCAGTGTTGCTTGACTCTCTGTTTCTAATAAACATCCTCCTGAAGTTCAATTCGGCTCAGCTGTTCCTCTAGACGTTGGAACTCAGCCAATGAAGCTGGGTCAGAATGACCTCTCAACTGCCCCTGCTCCTTCCTCATATTCATGATTTGCTCACCAAACTTATGAAAACGATCACCACCCCATCGGGATAAACGGTCTCCACAATATCCAATACATCCCTGCAATCCCATAACCCTTCCTTCCTCCCATGACTCCTCAACCACACCCCTACATGCCTCATCATGCAGCCATGCCATCTCAAAACGGAAGCCCCTCCTCCCATTTCTGTTCTCAATAAGGCCCTGAAGGCCTGAATACCCAAGAAAGCGCAGACTGGTCAGAAGTGCGGGTCAATAGATTTGTCACCCTTGCTCTTGGCACAATCCCACGTCATTCCTCTGTTGCCAACACCTTATCAAGCCTCTCCTCAGTCCAGGCCTACGTACTTTCCCCCCATTCCCAAGTGAACTGATATCCTCCCACAGGCATCTGAGATAATCCACAGTCCTCAACAACATCCCCAAAACCGCGAAGGAGGCTATTTGGATACGGATTACCCCCTCTTTTTTCATGCTGGTAAAGTAGATTATTAAAGTCCCCTATCATAACCCATGTGAGTTGGGACCTAGGTGCTAGTGAGTTGATCAACTCCCACGACTCATTACGCCTATTACAATCAGGAATTCCATAGAAACATGTCATACGCCAATCTGGGAAACCTGCCACATCAACCTGAACATCAATATGGTTTTCCGAAAAGCTCAAAAGCCTGATTGTATTATTCTTCCTCCACAACAAAGCTAGTCCACCACTCAAGCCTACACAATCAACATAAAACAGTCAATCAAAGCCAAGTTTAACACGAATACGTTCAGCATGTATCCGTCCCACCTTGATTTCCATTAAAAATACAAAGTTAGGTTTCTTACGGGACACAGGGTCCACAATCTCGAGAACTGTACGTGGATCACCCAAGCCACGACAGTTCTAACTTAGGGTACTCATTGGGACGTGCGGGCCTGTGATCCAGGTCCCGCCATGAATAAGTTTTTTTGAACATCAGACATAGCTACATTGCCCCCATCGCCCAACTGCCTCTCCAAACCATCTACGCCACCCTCCCTCTTTTTCTTCGCTACTGCCACAACCCGCGAGCCTAGCTCCCTCTCATCTGGCATGCCCGTCTCCTTCACCACTGCCAACGTTCCACCATCTACAAACCCTTCATCATCCGGCCGACCCTCCCCCTCCGTCGGCACTAGCCAATGATCGCCTACTGCCCACGGTCCACGACGTGAGCCAACCTTTAGATCAGCCAAGAACGGGCAATCTTTCGGCTTAGCCCCAGCATCCTGAGCCTTCTTACAGAATTTGTAGAGGTTGCCTAGTAACCCACAATAGAAACAAAAATTATGTAGTCACTCATATCTAAACGAAACCCAACAATCAGTTTTTTCACGCTTTATGAACTTCATCTTTCGCTCGATCGATTTTTCCACTGGGATGGCCACACGGATTCGGTAGAAGGGTTTCTATGGGGCGTTTGCAAAACGGTCATCACCAGCCACATACATTCCTAGATGATTCCCAAGCTATTCAAGAATTTTAGTCGTGGTATAGCCCATAGGCAGGCCATGAACCTATACCCACATATCAACAGTATCCAACTTAACATCTCTGGGCATGCAACATCCCATCATGCAGTTGGCAGCAAACCAGCATTGCATTCTCGAACGCCCACGGACCATCATTCAACACACGGTTTATATCAGTCTTATGATAGAATACGAATAAGAAGAGCTTCGGTTGAATCTCCGTTATCTGCACCCCCGATACCGGTTGCCATACGGATGCCAAGACCTGTCGCATATACTCAATCTTTACCAGTTTGTTCGTCAAGAATCGTCCAACAAGCATCCACTTCCTCCCTTCCCAGTCGCCAGAATCCCAGCCTACTCCGCCTCCTCCGGTTCGGCCTCAAACGCAGCCGCATCATCATCCTCCAGGACCATGTCGGCCCACCATGCCGTGATGGTCGGAACATCACAATCTGCCCGTACCGTCTCCATGCAGTGTTGTTCGCGATCAGAATAAGCAAAGCACTAAACGGTGCTAGGAAGAACCGGAAAATAGCTAGAGAATTGATCGGAAAACAATGAAACTAGGAGAAACCCTAGAGAGGAGTCTGAACCATGTCATTTTCTATTTCAATTGGCCTAAATTTAGTGTCATTTTTATTTTCAGTCAATTATTCTTTTTAATACATATTAATTAATTAGTTAATTATTAATATCAGTTTTTTTTTTTAATATTTCCACTAACTTTACATTTTATAAAATATATAACCGAGATTAATATTTCTTTCCATCTCGGTTAAACGTTGAGATGCAAACTTCATTATACATTTTTATTAATACATTTTATAACAGTAATTTTTTTATCTTTAGTAATTTAATAATATTCAAGTATTAATATTCATTTCCTTTTCCAATTGGCCCAATTTACATAAAAAATTTATATTTCCAGTAATTTATTAATATTCAAGTATTAATATTCATTACATTTTTATTTTTTAATCAATTATTAATATTTATTTCATTTTGTGCATTTGAGTCAGTTTCAAAATATTTTTAATTTTCAGGCAATTATTAATAGTCATTTCCTATTTCAATTGGCCTAAATTCTGTGCCGTTTTAACTTTTAAATACTATAATTTCACCTATGGACATGCATGTGTGGGTAAACGAATAAAACAAATGAATATTCAAAAGAATGTAAACCCATTAAATCTTTCAATTTAAACAAAAGACATAAATTTTAAATTTTAAGTTTTAAATTTAAATATAAAATCTATACGCTTATTCGTGCAGTTTACTGAATATGTTTATTACCAATTAATTATAGTAGGAATAGGAAAGTAGGAAAGAATATATTATATTAGGAATTGTATTACCATATTTTATGCGTAAGAATTTTATTTTTATTAATAGTATAAAAAAATTAAATTTCATTAGATTTTAAATAAATGTTACCATAATTATATGTAATAATTTGTCATATATAAATTTCTTACTTTAATAATATTAATCATATGATAATCTATTCTATTAATAAAAAATAAAATCCTCCCTAGATAACAATTAGAAAAACACCATTAGATACTCAGTACTTAATGTAAGTATTTTCCCTAAATACAAAATATTATAATATATTGTATTATTGGGTGGCTGTGGTGCAAGTGGGAGATTAAGTCAGGATATTTAGTTTAGCTTAAACTGAATATCTGCCTATATTGATAGCATGTAGGCTTCTAAGCAAAATAGTCCTCCCACAGCTCCCGTGTTCAGGATACAGGATACAGGATACACGTACCATCAGGTATTCGGGAGAAAAGTGGTAGACAAAATCACTATAAGAAAAATCACGAATCGCGACGGAAAAATTCCATCGCGAATCACGTTTTGCGACGAAATGGCAACGGAATTTATTCCATCGCCTTGCCATATTTTAAAAGACGACGAAATAGTTCCGTCGCAAAATTTGGCAACGGAACTTTTTCCGTCGCAATTTTTGCAACGGAAATATTTTCGCCACTAATTTCGTCGCTAATTTGGAAATAAATATTCCGTCGCTATGTTTGTTTTCCATGCAAATTCCGTGACATAATAAAACGATAAAATTGTTTTCCGTCACATTTAGCGCAACAAATATTATTTATTTAAAATTATTATTTTTATATAGTAATGTGAGCTTTTAAAATGTTAATATAAAACTACAATGACATACTAAAACACTATTAATTCTAAATTATAATATAATTCTAAAACATTATCAATCAACGTTAAGTTAAAGTAATAATACATTATCAATCCACAACAATATAATAGTTTTCACAAATTACAATCCACATTAAGATCAATTAGGTTGGGATGGAGGTGATGATGATCAGCTCTCCTGCCATCAATAGCATCAAATTCAATGGCAGAGGGAAACTATCTAACTCACCCACATGCTTACTGCATCAGTGTATTCAGGAAGGGATGGAGAGCTGCCTGATGGGCGTTTGAGAACCAATTATACTAAATCAAGAATATTAGGCTATGTATGTCATTCCTTGAGTATGTGTCAAGACATTCACCTAGAACAAATTTAAGTACAATTTAATGAGTCAAACCTAACAGGGTCAAAATCTATATACAAATTGCATTGCATGCACTGTTCAAACATATAAAACAGGTCTGCAGCAAGATCAAGCTGTAGTACCTAAGGTCAATGCTAATTCAAGCAGAGTCCCTAGCTATACTAGTTTTACAAAGCATTTTATTTTATATAGAAAAAAGAAAGGAACAACTATTTATGAAATTATCTGTTTTATATACTGGCATTCCTATATATCAGTTGTACCATTCCTATACCATTCAAAAAACTTGTGGATATTGACTTCAATCTGCATGTCATTATACACCATTCAGCTTATTGGAAAATAGAACATGAATACACATAAGGAAACTGACTTGAGAGGTTCATGCATTTAACAAGACAACAAATATTGAACTCCAAAACAAAAAAAAAAAAAAAAAAAAAAAAAAAAAAGAGCACTGAGTTGTTTACTAAACTACCAAAAGCTGAGAACAATCCACTCCTTCAGCAAAAATCATCAGTGAATTCCCATATCGGTTATGTTCCTCACCTATCGGAGCTTTGACACAGACATACCATCTGATAAGAACAACCGTGAAGTTTAAATTGCAAATACAAATATTATAATGAATTCATTTCAAGTACTTAATAAACAACAACTTGCACATAGCCTAATCTTCTGGTGTTCGTAGTTTTAGATCATCATATTAAAACTACATAGAGAAAAATGTATGTCATTTCATTTATAGAATACAAAGTAACACAGGCTCATCAGCAGTTGATGCCAAAAAATTGTATAGATGTACAATTTTATATCACTGGTGGCGTCTATATTGGCCATCCAAGAATGCAGAGATCACAATAAACCAGGCAACACAAAGGTAACTTTAGAGGAAAAAGGAAAACAAATTATCCAACACATGCAGACTTAGCAAAGTTCTACTGAAATGTTTATCAAAAACATAAAGCAAAACCAAAATTATGCTTAACTTAAAATTAACAAGAAAAAGATATGCAAACAAGGGCACACACTGGGGGATGAGAACTGATTGTATTATATTTTCTGAACTTGATTACAATGAGATCAGATGATGTGAATATATAGAGTAGAGAGTCACAGTGTGACAATGATAAGAAGTAGAGAGTCACAGTGTGACAAGGATAAGAAGTTCTAAACAGACTCATATACATAGAGTCCTAATACTCCCCCTCAAGCACAGTGTATACTAGTAACCTGTAGCTTGTCCCTTAAGGAAGAAAATCTAGGTCCAGGCAGAGCTTTGGTGAAGATATCAGCAAGTTGATCCTTTGTGGAGATGAAGTTGACTTGGATATCGCCCGAAGCTACTCGATCACGAACAAAATGATAATCAATCTCCACATGCTTGGTGCGCGCATGAAAGATTGGATTGGCACTCATATATGTAGCTCCTAGATTATCACACCATAATTTTGGAATGGAAATACCCGGAATCTGTATCTCACGCAATAATGACATAATCCATAGAACCTCAGCACAAACATCTGCAAGAGCTTTGTATTCAGCCTCAGTGGATGACCTGGCAACAGTTCTCTGTTTCTTGCAAACCCATGATATAAGATTACTCCCCAAGAAAACAGCAAAACCACTCGTGGATTTTCGATCGTCAAGACAACCAGCCCAATCAGAATCAGAGAAAGCATGAATGTCTCTAAATGAGCACCGTCGTATGCGTAAACCATGATCAACTGTTCCCTTAACATACCTAAGTACCCGTTTGAGCTGCTCCCAGTGTGATATGGTGGGGGCATGCATATGCTGGCATAACTGATTAACTGCAAAGGATAGGTCAGGTCGTGTGACAGTGAGATATTGCAGTGCTCCAGCTAGACTCATGTACTGTGTGGGATCATCATATAGATCTGAATTGAAGGGGACAGTTTTCGAGACAGAGATAGGTGTAGAAAGGGGTTTGCATTCAGACATTCCAGCCCGTTTTAAAATATCATTCATATACCGTTGTTGAGATAAAATAATCCCATTGTCACTCTTAACTGTTTCAATACCCAGAAAAAAATTTGGTTCACCAAGATCTCTGATTTTGAATGTAGCAGACAGTTTGGACAAGAGCTGAGACATAATACCTTGATCATTTCCCATTACAAGAATGTCATCCACGTACACTAATAGATAAATCAAAGCAGAGTCTTTAGAGTAATAGAACAGAGAGACATCTGTCTTGGATGCTTGAAAGCCAACCGATAGTAAGAACGTATGTAGTCGATTAAACCAAGCTCTGGGAGCTTGTTTTAACCCATACAGAGATCTTTTTAACAAACAAACATGATTCGGGAAGTTAGCATCAATATAACCAGGGGGTTGCTTCATATAAACTGTTTCAGCCAGATTACCATTCAGAAAAGCATTATGAACATCTAGCTGTTTGATAGACCACCCAGATGATAAAGCTAGAGATAGAAGGAGTCTTACAGTCGTAGGCTTTACCACTGGACTAAAAGTGTCGAAGAAGTCCTGACCTGGAACCTGATTAAAACCTTTCGCAACCAGCCTGGCTTTATGCCTTTCAATAGCACCATCAGCCTTTCTCTTCGTACGAAACACCCATTTACAGCCAATAATATTCATACCTGCAGTGGGTGGAACTAGAGACCATGTGTGGTTATGCAGGAGAGCATTGAATTCTTGGTTCATGGCTTCACGCCACTCAGGATATTTGACAGCTTGAGAGTAACATGTGGGTTCCGTGGGATGCACTTGAGCTGCTAGAGCAAAAAGATGAGCATCTACGTTGCTGCGAGTGGCCATAGAGTGAGTACGGACATTGGGCCTGATGGACCGCCCACGTGGACGGCCTCGCCGGCGAGCAACAGGCTCTACAGGATCACCCGACGAGGCAGCCTGTCCAGGATCCACGGCTGGTTCGAATGAAGCAGGTAGTGGCGGTTCTGGCAGCTCATCATTGGACACGGCAGGAATAGGTGTGCTGTGACTGAGAACAGATTCCGCCCAAGGTCCAGAAAACGGAGTAGATAGATCCTGCAAAGAAGTTTTAGTAGCAAAGGGGAAAACTTCTTCATCAAATCTGACATGCCTGCATGTGTAAATCTTATTAGTATGTAAGTCCATGCATCTGTACCCCCTAAAGGACTCAGGATAACCTAGGAAGACACATGGAGAAGACCTGTATGACATCTTATGACGATTATATGGTCGAAGATGAGGGTAGCATAAACACCCAAAGACACGGAGAATAAGATAGGAAGGAGGGGATTTATGTAACAGGAGATGAGGACTGGAGTTATTTAATACAGAAGATGGCATTCTGTTAATTAAATAGACAGCAGTCTCAAAGGCAAAATCCCAAAATTTCAAAGGAACAGAGGCATGAGCGAGAAGAGCCAGACCAGTTTCAACAATGTGACGATGTTTTCGTTCAACACGACCATTCTGTTCATGTGTATAGGCACAGGATTGTCTATGTTGAATTCCTAATTGAACAAACAAAGAATGCAACTTTTTGTACTCAGCACCTAAATCAGACTGAATGGCCTTTATTTTGCAATTAAAGAACCGTTCAACAAGAGTACGAAATTTATCAAAGATGACATAAAGATCAGACTTTAATTTCATAGGAAAGAACCATGTATAACGGGAATAGTCATCCACAAAGATCACAAAATAACGGAAGCCAGAAGTAGATAAAGTGGGCGCAGGACCCCAAATGTCTGTGTAAATAAGATCTAGGACTTGAGAACTAGAGGAAGCAACACGGGGGAGGGGAAAACGGGCAGATTTGCCTAATTGACACGCATTGCATAAAGAATTATGACAACGAATATTATCACGAGACCCACTAACCAAACAAGAACGAAGTATATGGCTAAGAACACGGTTATGAGGATGACCTAGACGATTGTGCCAAGTGGAAGCCGAGGCGCGAGCGGAAATAAACGCTGACGGAGACGAACTAGGTAATGAAAGTGTGTATAGTCCCCCCGAACTATTGCCCCGAAGAAGTATTTCCTTGGTATTGATATCTTTTACAACAAAAAAAGGAGGGGTGAAACTCAAAAAAAGACTTTATTATCGGATGCAAACTTCTGAACAGATAATAAAGAATTAGACAAATGCGGAACGTGAAGTATATTAGACAATGTAAATGATCTAGAAGGGGTATTAAAAGAGGCATGACCAACATGACTAATAGATAAACCCATACCGTCACCGACACGTAAAGTGTCATTACCAGTGTACTTCTCTGATGTAGAAAGGGCAGCGATGTTCGGAGTTGCATGATTTGTGGCTCCAGTGTCCGGAACCCAAGTATGAGAATTTGACGAGGTTTTAGCAACTAAACCATTCTGAAACACCAAATTAGCCTGAGAACCCGGAGCCCCTGAATATCGCCGAAAACAGTTGACTCCCGTGTGGCCGAAACTTTTGCAAATTTGACATGGATCATTATAGCGCCAAAAACAATTGGCTCCCGTGTGACCAAAACGTTTACAAATTTGACACGGATCATCATAGCGCCAAAAACAATTGGCTCCCGTGTGACCAAAACGTTTACAAATTTGACACGGATCATCATAGCGCCAAAAACAATTGACTCCTGTATGGCCGAAACCTTTACAGATTTGACACGGATCATCGAAGCCACGTTGCTGACCTCCACGGTAATTAAGGTTGCCATCGTAGCGCTGCATCTTCTTAATTTTATGAATCACAAAACCCTAGCTAACTGATACCAGATGAGAACTGATTGTATTATATTTTCTGAACTTGATTACAATGAGATCAGATGATGTGAATATATAGAGTAGAGAGTCACAGTGTGACAATGATAAGAAGTAGAGAGTCACAGTATGACAAGGATAAGAAGTTCTAAACAGACTCATATACATAGAGTCCTAATATGGGGAAGTGAATCTGTATCCAGCACAGGTCCCACACATGCACCCCAGAAAAGATCATTAGCAATCAACAGAATGAGAACTATTATCATACTCAGAAATGAAAACATGAGAACATTACCAAGAACACTAACATAACACATTCACAAGAATACAGAGGATTTAAATTCTAAAGAGACACAGATTACTTGAAAAATAAAAGAACAACATTGATAAAAAAAAAACTTGGGGTGTGTTTGGTTCGCACATAGGCATCGGAATCGGAATGGGTATCAAATACTTGGTAATGGTAATGGGTTTTGGTGGAAGTATTTAACATGTTTGGTAGTAGGGTGGAATGGGAATGGTTACTAATAGTAGTGCTTGAGAATGAATAAGGGAATGAAACCCTTATTTTATTTGGGTATGGGTTTTTAAATTGATGGGTATTTGAAACCCATAGTAGTGTTCTAAAAACCTATCAACCAAACAACAACAATCACTTTCATACCCATTCCTATGTGCAAAACCCACCAACCAAACACACCCTTGATAAGATATAGTAACAGCTACTACCATTAACCACAAATATACACTAATACAATTATACAAAACTAATACACAAGTATATCACCACAAATCTATTTAGGCCACCGCCGCACCCCGCAGCCTAAGGCTCCAGTCACACACTCACTTGACAGTTTACAGACATATATCACTAACATGTTTAAATGAGGTTTCAGAATTAGATTGTGATGTCTTTGGACCGAATTAAAATATCTGAATTGAACTATATAAATTAATTGGACTGGTTCGGGTCTATTATTTCATCATTATTAAACCTCTATTTTTTTTAATTAAAGCACAAATAATAAAACTAGTATTTAAACTAGTATTTCAGAATTAGATTGTGATGTCTTTACACCAAGAATTACTGTTTTGTAATGTGTATTTCATTCTATTTTGATCCCTATCACTTTCTGGATGTACAAAACAAAATCTTAGACAACAGAACACAACACAACACACAAAAAAATTAATTAATTAAATTAATTAAATTCAAGGAAAAAAATCAGCAGATATACACAACACACAATTTTATACTATGATATGCAAACTAACAATTAGTTTTAGTCTGGAAATTGTAGTGTATACTGGAACAAATAGCATTATAAAAATTACCTGGGAGACTATGAATACTTAGAGTCTTGAAATTTTGGAGCCTGGACTCTGGAGAAACACACAACAAGCAGCAAGTTCTGCATTTTTTTATAAAAATAAAATTCGTGCGATTTTTTTTTTTTAATATATAAATCAAAGTGAACAATTAAACAATTACTCAAATAACAAATTAAAAATTATCAAATTAGTATGTATGCAACTTCCCTTTGAAAGAATGAAAGCTTTTGATTTGAGGCGTTGAGGGCGAACCGCGAGCAAGCAGTGTCTCAGAGACTCAGAGATGTGAGGGCGTGACTCAGGCGAAGAGGAGCGGCGACCGGCAACTCCGGGCTTCGGCGAGGCCTGAGAACTGAGAAGACGAGGGAGGCTTGCTTCACTGCGTGAGAACTGAGAAGATTTAGAAGACGAGCGGCGAAGCGAGGCTTGAGAACTGAGAAGACGAGCGGCGAGAACTGCTTGAGAACTAAGAACACGAGCATAGCGACTCCGATTCCGGCGAGGCTGAGACTGAGAGCGGGAGGGAGAGGCAGAACGGAGATGCCAGAGAGTGAGGTTAGCAATATGTTTGGTTGTAGAGGGGGAATTACGTGGGAAAGGAATTGCGATTCCATGGGAGATGAATTACTGGGAATTTAAATTCCAGTGTTTGGTTTACATGAATAGAATTACTGGGAATTTCAATTCCAATGTTTGGTATAAATGGGAATTGAAAAGGAATAAGTAATATAAAGTCCAAAATGTCCATTGTTATTGTCAAACATTAATTTTAGGTTAAAAATGGAAGGGGTAATTTTGACTCATCACTATCTTTTTTTCTTCCTAAAATCCCAAGGGGACATGAGATTTTAATTCCATGAAAAATGAAGGAATTACAATTACATTAAATTACAATTCCTTTCAACTAAACAAGAGAATTTTGTGGCCTTTGGAATTATGTGAGAATTAAGTGGGAAGAGAATTTAAATTCCCTTCAACCAAACACCCTAGGCTTTCCTGAGGGGAAAGGAGCGAGGGCTAAGACGATAGAGTGAAATAAAATTTCAAGTATGTGTCTCAATAGGCCGTTTTAAGTCTTTTACAAAAATAAATAAATAAATAAATAAATAATCGATGTCGTTTGAGGATAAAGGGAAATAAAAGTTTTTTTTTAAAAAAAAAAAAATTTGCAACGGAATAAATTCCGCCGTTAATTCCGTCGCAATATTTATTCATTTCAAAACGTTTCTTTCTTTCGCAACGAAAAGTAAATATGTCACTTTTCCGTCACTAAATAGACGACGTAACTTACATTCGTCGCAAATTCCGTCATAAATATTTTACCGCCAAGATTTCGCGAGTTTTATTTTCTCTTTACGCCAAAAATCGCGACGGAATTACTTTTTGGTGCAAATTCCGTTGTTAATTTGCAACGGAAACTATTCCGTCGCTATATTGCGACAAAATAGTTTTCGTCGCGATTTTTCTTGTAGTGAACACTCTGCAGGTTTACCATCCCAGCGGCAACACTAACAACTATGACAAGGAATATTCAGATGATCCTGAAGCTTCCGCTACTACGAGTCAGGTTAGTCGTTACTTTAATTTACGTTAGCCTTATTATTTTCTAACATTTTGTATCAGAGCCTTAAAAATCTCTGCATGCCTAGTTGTATTATTGAATACGAAATCAGTTTTTTATCGAAAACTATTGTCATATACATTGATTTTTAGTATATGCTGTTTTTCAAAATTTTGTTCAGCTTGGAATTTAATTATGTGCATTAAGAATAATTAATTTCCTTTAGGATATAGAAATTGTTATTTTTTGGGAACTAACCATCGCCGGGATCTCTCTTTTTTTTTATCCGTTTTGGTCTTTGTTTTCCGTCGCAAGTCGACCCCAAATGATTGCCGGTGTTTCAGATTTTCCAGCGATCTCCATCGACGGCGAGCTTCACGTGGGCGAAGTCAGGCGTTGTCCTCGTGATCAATGGTGATGCGGATACAGGAGAACCGCTCCAGTGACGCTAAGAACGCCGTAGTGACGCCGTTGAGGAGCCACATGGTCACCCCGTCGACCTTGCCACAAGAAGGAGACGAGGAGTGGCGGACGACGGCGGCGTTGGTGAACCAGGGCATCGGCGGACTGGCGGCGTCGCGACGAAGGCGTTGGTGAAACTGGAGTTGCAGCGATGTTGTACCGTCGCCACTGCTTCCTTTAGGTAGCCGTTACTCCTAGCGACGCAATTAAGGGCGAGCACGACGGCGGGCGGCGACGAGCAGCGAGGTGTCGCGGCGAAGACAAATGGCGAAGGCGGTGCACGGACTTCCGGCGACGTGGCGGCGTCGCGACGGAGGCGTTGGCGGACCTGGACCTGCGACGAGGAGAGCCGGCGGAGGCGAGCTGGACTCTCCGGTGACGTCGCTGCATCTCCCCTTCTTCAGGCGGCTGCTGCTGCTTCTTGTCTGATTTTCCGGCGATGCATGGAAGAAGACGAAGGAGACGATACATTCCCTATTAAAGGGCAGCTGCAAATTATCCTTTTATTTACCATATATTTATTTGTCTTATTTAATATTACTTATTAAATTATGGTAAATGGTAATTATATTAAGTTTTTGCCATATTAATATTAGCTAATTTAATATTGTATATTATTTTTATGACAAATAGTAAATTAATGGTAATTGCTTGTTTTTGAAATAATAATGCCATTTAGTTTTTCTTTTAATTTTGGCATTAAAATTTTTAAATTGAGAGATATTAATGCCCTCTAATTTTCTCTTAATTTTGACATTAAATTTACAATTAAATTATTATTCAATTTTGAACAAATATTAAGTATTAAATTTGTTACTTGAATATTAATTTAATATTGATGTGCATATTAAATTGCCTAATTATTGCAATTTATTTAGGATTTATGAGTTAATAATATATTAATTTGCAAAAATCCAAATATGCTTTGTATATTTTTAAATTATTTTATTATAATTGTACATTTAGAAAAGCATATATTAAGGTTGGATATATAGCATATTGTTAACTCATAGCTTTTATATTAAATATCATTCAATTTTGGATCCTTGGGCTAATTTTGAACATTATAGCCTATTAAGATGACTTGTTTGGTTTCTCATTTAATTTTGAGCATATTTTAGTCCTATTTTTTTTTTACTTGGGACTTTAAAACCTATTTTGAACAAGCTATTTAGGACCTATCTTGGTCAGTATGGATCTTGCTATTATTTGATTGATATTTTAATAATAATTGTAGCACATTATAACATGTTTATTAAGGTTCAAGTATTACTAACTACCGTATTTTGTTAACGGTATTTATTGTTGGTGATAATATAATGTTTGGATCTATTTCCATATTAGAACATTTATCATTCATGTTATAATAACCCAACAGGGTAGCTTAAGTGGTAAATGAGCTCTCTTTGTGGTGGAGAATTTTGGGATAACTCGAGTTCGACTCCCATAAGTGACAATTTCCTTTGGGCTAGCTTCTGTAAGACTCGGACCACAATGCGTGGTTGACACCAGAAAAAAAAAAAAACATTTATGTTATAATTAACTTGGGTCATTAAGGTTCACGGACCATTAAGTATTTAAGGATTACAATTATCATATGAAGCCATTAAGAATTATAATTATTGGTTTGACCATTAAGAATTATAACTATTATTTAAATTGATTATGTTTTTAATCTATTAATAGTTTTTAGGGCCTTAACAATAATCTCAAGTATTTTTTATGGCAAGCAATGTACATAGTTGATATATTGACTTTACATTGGTAATTTGGTTATACCTTAATTTCAGTCTCCTTATGACTCATTATAGTCATGGTTGATTATTATGTGGTAAATTGAGATTAGTATTTGGCATCCCTTAATTACAGTTTTGCATTTATTGTAATTATTACTAATTTGCATTATTAATTACTGTTATTAAGTTTAGGGGCTAATCTCATTTATTACCTTTCATAATAATTATTAATTAATGGTAATCTACTATATTTGGTACATTGGTAAGATTACCCATGTCACTTCATTTTTTTCATTACTATTAATAATGGTAATTGAGTGTTACCAATAAACTGTTACATACCATTGGGCGATTCATTAAGGTTACTAGCATTGACGAGTCAACTAAACTCTCCGCGAAGATGAGATATTTTGAAAGCTTTCTTTGCTATCGATGTTAGTGCTATGGATAGATGCGGTTTGCATCACTAAGGTACACAAATCGTTAATTGCAGTTTACATTTTATTATTATTGGTAACTACTGTTATAGTTGTTATAACTGTTAACTGTTTTGAACTAGTCACATTTTTTCTTTAAGAAAATTGAAACATTAAGATATGTATTACCATGTTTGTCATTATTAAAATGTTAATGGTGATTATAATGCTCTTTATTACTATTAATATTTTAATTGATGATAACATTATTTTTATGGTATTAAGTCATGAATTGTTTCCAAATTGATTTATGTGACATTTACTTTTCGGACTTTAAGTTTTATTAAATTAAATATTTTAATAATTTTATCCGAAAATGTTTTAAAGGTTAACAATTTTAACTGTTGTTTTTTCATATTTAGTCTCCAAATTAACATAATAATATTATTATGGATATTTGTGCTTTTCTGGTTTATTTGCAATTTTATGCCATTAATAATACTATTAATTGCGTTTTGGAGAGTGATTTTTGAATCAATTCAAAATTTTGGAAAAACATGTTTTCTACGTTGTACATCTATCCAATAATTTATTTAGTGTTTGAATTATGATTTTAGATGTTATTGCCCACATTTAGTTAAGTATGAATAATTGAATACACATTTGGTGTTTTTCATACTCTTTAGATTGTTTTATACTTTTAATCACATTAAGTGCATAATATTAAGTTTATTATGCAATTAGGATTTATGAGATTTTTATTTACGAATAAAACATATACTATGGCTTGATATTTGTGACTTTAGCCTATTTCTCACAAATTTGATTTTATGCAATTAAAACATTTTCACGTGGGCTTATAGTCTTTAACCTTTCAAAGTATATATCTATTATATTATTATTATTCAA